CTCTAAGTTAGTACAATAATTGACTGTGAATGCTGCTGAAGCTTACTAGTATCAATTAATACATTGTACAGTTCACAGCCTTCTGATCACTAGTTTGATTGGCTAATCGCCATCATTGCATTGCGTCATAGACAGGCCGATCAATCTAACCAACCCTGGAGGCTGCTCGCTTCGTAGTACATTTTTATGCACCGATGTCTCTATCCGGCCACTATAACCGGATATTGACTCCAGCAAATCCAGTACAAGTCCATCAAATCTGTGTGACTTTTACTGGAATATTTGCTGGTCAGCAAAGTACTGAACCGGATACTGGTGCGGTGCGAAAATATTTCAGTAAATTTTCAGTAAATCAGCCCACAGAGTTACTGATTGGCCAATTTCCTGGGCGCGGTGGAGATGCTCTTATCCCAGGCGAGAGGTTTTGTCATCTGGACTACAGTACAGTCTACTTTAACTGTAAAAGGAGTACTATATATAGTAAAGTTATGAATAACTTTAACGTTACGCCATTTCTCTCATCAAGTAACGTTACCCCTTAACTTAAAGTTTGAAGTGCACAAAATCCAGATAAATTGAGTCCAGCAGTGACAAAAAAAACACTTGTCGAGTCTGGCCTGCAGGAGCCCAACCAGCGCGCATTTGGTCCCAAGGTTGATTCATACTAGTACTACTACGTACTATTAATACCACTATTAATTAATAGGTACTTCGAAGTAGTACCGTAGTACCATAATGGAAACTAACGTTACTGTACTTTGAGTCCATCGCACAATTACTTCGAACGAATTGTCTGTCTGTTTGTGGTCCGGAGGCTCCCAGGAGATATTTTATGTCCTGGATAATATTAATTTGATCCCGGAGACTCCGTGTGATATGATTGGAGGAGTACGTGGAGGAGTACTTCGAACTGGGCCTAACTGTAAGTACTGTAGCACAATGTACTAGTATTACTACGTATTAATATGTAGTACTACGTACTACGTAGTACTTCGCAGATTTATGACCAATCATTGGTTGGCATGCCTTGATTCCACCAATCGAAGTCCATCTCTCGCGTTTTCTACACACAAACCATTCGAAAAATGTACATTTCACCAGTTACGTGAGGCGTTTCAACTCGACCAGCAGGGCTTGGATGCTGGTGAGGTGACCTTGCGCAATGTCGGCCAAGCGCGTGTCCACAGCAAGCCGTCGCTCTTGCAAGTCACGGTCTGCTTCCGCGCGTTCCCGATGAAGGTCCACGAGACGGGCTTGGTGGTCGTTGTAGGTGTGCATGACGCGAGTGAGGTTCGACACGGTGTCTTCCCAGCCGAGACGGTTCGCAGTGGGCGGAGCCACCATAGCGCTGACTCGTGATGCCTTGAGGAAGGACGACTGCGCCTGATCTGGGCAAGACACGGTGCTCGCGGGCGACGTTGGTGGAACCACAGGTGGAGAGCTTGGCGGGGGCCGTTTGCGTTTTCGTGTTGTCGGACTGGTGCTGCTGCCATCGACCACGGACGACTGTGTGTCATGTCGCTCCTTTCCGCCCCCCGCTTTACCTGGGTTCAGAGTCACCTTGGACGGGTTCAGCGTCGCCGCCGCCGCCAGGGTCTCCTTGTTCTTCAACCATCGCGACAGTTGGTTGCACTGGATCCCATGCTTCTTGGCCGTGGCGTAGATGGTTCCTCCAGAGGCCTCGTACTCGTCCACGATCGCGACTTTCCCCGCCAGCGAGATCGTCTTGCGCCCACTTGCCATGCCACAGTCGCTCAGAACGTTCGGAACTGCTCCGGCTGGTGCTGCACCCATATGAACTCCTGCACCCATATTCGAATGCCAACCAGATGAAAAGTATGCATTCTAAGAGGTTTCGTGTGGTTGTCCAAATATATCAAATATATACGCCATCAAATATACTTTTGTACTATTAATAATTTATGACTCAACTCTCCCATTACTATTTACACTGTCAATTAGATACTGTAGTCGGAAACGACTTCGCTTCCATCATGCATGACAATGCACATGGTCGATACTAGATACTTACCACTGTATATCAAAGTGTGTATGTACTACTATTATGGAGTAATAGTCCTGTTTTAGAAATAATAATATTTGCAAAGATACTTAAGATAGGTACGATGAGTGTACGTTTTACCTTACCTTTTGTATTCTAATGTACGTTGTACCGAATGTACGTTGGTCGGACAGCGTTGTTGCACACCCGCCCAACACGCGCAGAGACGCAGCACGAACGACATGGCACTGCCGCCGCTGCAGGTACGCACATCCATCGCTTCTGTCTGTCATGAGGAAGATTGGTCGGAAACGTCCTCAAGCGTCCATCGCATGGTGTAGGCATGGTTGCTTTGGGTTGCTCTCCTCATCGCGACAACCCTTGCATCGTCTTCCGATGCTGGCAAGACATTCGCGCCATTGTCGGTATTCTCGGCGCCGATCTGCCGCTTCACCGCTCGTCCGTGTGTGCGACTAATAGATCGAAATGCGTCCGATATCATTGCGCTACCGATGGCCGCCTGGCTACCTCGGCAATTCGCCGTCTACGCGCCACTTACATCCTCCTCAACATGTCCGACCAACCATTCCATCTGCGGTATATGTACACACCCTCAGCTACGACGTATCTCATGCGACCGTAGTCCCGACGTCTGCGTACGTTCCTACGCTCACCCGCCTTTCCAGCGGCGACATCAACCTCACGATCGCGCTCCTGGACTCTGACGTTGTCGCCGACACCGCGCTCACTTTCACGCTGTCGTCGTCGGTACTACACACACCCTTCATCATTCCTTCCATCTCCAACGGATCGTATAATATGCGTCTACTAGACCTTTGTCCACGGTCCGTCCTGCAGTCCCATGGGCACGTGCAACGACTCGATGTGGACAATCTCGTCACCGTCGTCACCGTTCGTCGTCACATTTGTCGTCACGAATGCCACGGGCTCGTTCAACGTCACCCGCACTCCCACCATCTTGGCGTCCATGAACCTCGCCGCCGCCGCCATCCTTCCCGCGTCCAACATGGAGTTCTCACCGACCGTGTCGTTCGAGACCGACCCCACATGCATGCGGCTCAGCATGTACCTGCCGCGGACACTCTCGGCGCTGTCGCTGTGTCTGTCGTTGGACCAGGACATGTGCCGCCCCCACAACGATCTGGTATGTGAATGCCGTCGATCGAAATTGGTTGTCTGCGTTTCACACTAATTTCAACCACACACTAATTTCAACCTCGTGTATGCATCTGGGTTTTGCTTGGTCGATCGCGTGTCTACAAGCCCATCTTGTCCTTTTCCCCCCAAAAATTTATATTGACTTACACTAATTCCATTATTCACACACTATTTCGATGTTCAGTGTCAAAACGTGTTCACACACTAATTCAAGTCATACGTTGAGTTTTCATCACAACGATATTGTAGATTCGATGGTATGAATTTCCTGATCTTGTGTGACGCGATTGGCTAATCTATTTTTGAGTGGATTTGATTGGCTCGAAAGGACAAGTATATTCAACCAATCAGAGATACCCAGCATGATTCAATATTGATTCGACAAACCAGGCGAATTTTAAAAGTTAGTTTATAGCGAAATATCACAATAATTGGCTCATATATTCTTCAACCAGATATCTGTCCAGACTTTGAAGTGTCGTCGTGTATTATATATGTATGTAGCCGTCGACGTTTCCGCCGCTGTCGTGGAATGCATCGTCCCCAGCGAGCATCCTCCAGGGCAGCGCCAGTGTCCGCGTCAACGTCACGACGACGTCCGCCACGTCGTTTTGCTTGACGTTGCAGTGGGACCCCCATGACGTGGCAATGCTCCAGTCGCCGCTAGGGCTGTCGTTTCCCAACGTCCATCTCACAGCGAACGCCACTTCCGTGTCATCACCTTTGTATATGCAGTGGACGGTGCAAGGCACCGAGTCGCAATGCGTGCCCGTGGTGTTCCTACAATCGCCGCGCGCCGCCGACTTGGTCGAGCCCCAGACCCTGTGGACCGTCGTGTCGTTGGTGCTGTACACGTTTGCGTTCGTGGTCGCGTGTCTGCTCGTGCGGCTTCACGGCCTGTCGTTCGTCAAGACGTCCATGTTCCATGACCTCGCGCTCGTGTCGTTGCTCCTTGTCTTGCTCACGTCGTTGCTCGTGCACGTGCTGTGGTATGTCGAACATGGTCATGTGTCTATCTTGTTCTACAAACAATTCTATATTCGCCAAACCTATCGAAGTAGTTTCAGTCCTGTCGTCGACGATCGGAGATTTGATTGGCCAGTGATGAGTGTTATGCGTTTTGATTGGTCTTTTTCGATCTGGTTGGGATTCTGCGCATTCGATACCGTGTCACACACCGTTGTTCTTCGTTTGGTTGTATTTGATTGGATGATCGA